TTTGATGTTTACGGAGATTCTCCAACTGGGTCTCAGTGTTGGAGAATCTAGAAAAAAGCTTGAAAGAAAAGTTTGTTTCACCATTTTTATGAACCCTAAGTGCGAGAGAATTCCATCTTCCTTGTTTTTCAGTTAGAAACAAGACGGGAAAATTCTTGAAGGGCAATCTTAGTTGCCTACTGGACAAGCAATCATACATGTGCTTTATTAGGTTGCAGGAGTGAAATGCCTGCCCTGACATCATGATTGTTGCCAAGTAATTTGAGAGTAAATGCCTAGCAAAATTTGTTACTTTTTTGGATTGGATCGAGATGTAGTTTCTTGATTTGGATTCATTAAAATTGATTATTGATTTACTTTATCTTAGAACCAATATATGTTAACTGCAATGACATGATCACTTGTGCATAGAATATAATACAAGATTATAAAATTAGTTTTAGAAGTTTCCGCTAATAATTTAGATTTCTAGATTGAATATTCTTGGTAGGATTGGTAAAGCAAATGTGTCCCTTCTTCTTAGTATTGATATTAACAGTGTTATTAAATTTGATATGATATGGTAGATTAACTTGATGAGCTAGTAGCTGCTCCAAGTTAGGTTTTATATCAAATTGAATACATGTTGAATTAATGATATAAGATGTTTTTGTAAAAAGTATTTTTTAATTTAAAATTCATTAAAATAATTTTTTTAATATTTTTATTTTTAACATCAATTTATTAAAAAACTTCTAAAAAAATATCAATTTGATACTTTTTATGATGAAAAATAAGTCAACCATGTAAGACCCAAGACCCATATTCTTGGCCTATTAAACCCTAGTCTAAACTACAGGCTAAACTAACATAGGTATTTAAAGATCAAGTTACCAAATAATTTGTTTTTCTTTTTTTTTTTATTTCCTTTACCATGACTTTTTTTTTAGAGATGCAAGGATTTCAGTTGTAAAATTAAGCTTTTAGGTTTTGAAAATGGTTGAAGAAGCAAATAAATGATTTTTTTTATTGTTTTTTATTAGAAAATTTATGGTTAAAGGATTAAAGAAAAGTTTAGAGTTTTTATTATGATTTAATAATTGAATGATTTAAGAGATTTAATTAATGTTTTAGGATGTTGGTTGGTTTAAAATAAATTGATTAGATGACTAAAATTATGGGTCTTGAAGAACAAATTAATCACTTTTAGGATCTGTAAATTTAAAAATTGATAGATCAGAATTTTAGAAATCCAAAACAATCGGTTAAATTGCTTGATATTGACTCGTTGTTTCTGGTCGACTAGTTCGTCTAAATTAAATGATTGATTGGCTTATGGTGGTGGTCGATCAGTTGATCATTTCAGTTGACCCAGCAGTAGGCATTAATTAGGTCTGTTAGGTTTGATTAAATTTAGGGTATGATTGAGATCAATCAGTTGAGTTAGTTCGGTTTTATAATTATGTTTTGGTCTTTGAACCTAGAGTTTCAATCTCTTATGTTATATTTTTTATGTCATTTTTTAGTGCTTTTCAGTATCCATAATAGGTTCCTATTAGCGATTCCAACTGGTCTTTGGTTCTACTTATATCTTTTGTTTCTTCTTTTTTGAGTGGGTGAGATAGTTTTTAATATGCATGTAATATAAATAGTTATGTGTGCTAATTAGATGATGAGTGCAATTGATTTTTTGTTGAATAATTATATATACTATTACTTTATTTTTCGAGTAGTCATTTATTCTTAAAATCATATTCGTAATCTGTTGAATTAAATTCTATTTGATATGACATTTATTTGCATTGATAATTATATGAATATCTATTATATCTTAATGTTGGTATATTAGTCAGTAACTTCATGCTAACAGAGAATAGTTAGTTTATGTGCACATAATATTATATATATCTAGTTGATAAGAGAGACATCAACCTATGACGATTGATCATCTCATAGTAATCGGGGCCACTAACCTCTTTTGTTAACAAAACCTTAAGGTTTTATCTATTATCTGAGCCAATAATTTCGTCTAATCTCTGACATGTATTCCATTACTTTATGTCATCATGCTTAATATACGTATATATATTTGTTTCAATCCTTATACTTATAAATAGTTAAAATATATATTAAATATTATTTTTTTATTGAGCTACTTAAACTCACCTCCCATTTTAATATTATTTTAAGCTCTTAACTTCCATTAAGAGGTTAACCTTTAATTGAGAGTTCTTACTACTTTGTTTGTTGGTATATCTTACTTGCTTCCAGGAGTTTTTTTATTTTTTTATAATTCAATGTTTTAGACACACCGTTATTATGATATTTTCAATAAAATTTAGATTTTTTTTTCAAAGATTGAATTTTATTTAATGTAATAAATATATTAAATTATAAGTTGTTTTATTAGTTTTGAGAAATATTTGAAAGATTATAAAATGTTGCGTTACATACACACACACATGCTTTAATGCCTAGATCGTGGGTTGATAGGTCAATTTAGATTAATTTAAAATGATATTGTTTTGATTTTATTTAAAAAAGTTGAAATGATTTTGCTTTGAAAAAATTAAAAATCAACCTTGATTTATATATATTTGTTTTGTGATATGCTCTTGTGTTGCTGGTTACAGGATTAGAGTTCAAGTCATGACAATGAAAGCTGACTTTATTAATCTGATTATATCTATATAAAAAGAAACTTACTCTTGATGAAAGGAAACTATTTCAATGATACTTTTACTTTTAAGATTCAATTATTTTTAAGGTTAAGTGGTTATTTAATATATTGTATCCTTGATTTAAAAAAAAAAAGTTAGTATAACGTCTTTTGAAGTTCCATAAGCTTATTTGCTTTCCACACGCTTTGAAATAATTTGCATGCATCCCCAACTCAAGATTAATCTCAATTAAACAAGTAGAAATGGCCATGGCAATATACCACTACATTTTTCAAATAATTTGAGTTGAGATGGGAATCCTGCTTTACCGTGCAACAACAAAGGGTCCATTTGTTCAGTTTCATCATTATTGACACTAAATCATGAATATGAATCCTTATGCTGACTCCTTTTTTCTGGATGATATAGTTTATAGTATACTTTTTAGTGAATACATTCAATCAAATTTCTATTAGATATGCTGTTCCTCTTCCCCATAAATGAAACTTGATCTTTTCTTTTGTTTCTCCTTTAGTTGATGATACACTTTTTCTCTCTTTTTCTGTAAAGTGCGTGTCTCTTTATCTGCCCTTGTACTATTCCCCCCTCTTTCAATTTGCCAATTCAGTCAAAAGCCAACCTTTTTATCTTGTAATGAGAGACAGGAATAGACAGCTCTAATCCCATGAATCTCTTGATGAGATCTTTGTTTGTATGATTGCTTGTTTGAAGATTTACATTTCCTACAAACCATAATCTTCTTCTCAAATACTAGGGACCCTGCCCGCCAAATCCATGGTTGCTTCCTTTTTCTTTTCTTGTTCTTGTTTTCCCATTATTTATGCCGCTATGTTCCAAGATGAGTCTAAATCATGGAAATGAAATCCAGCCCATCCTATGCCCCGGATCAATGCTTAAATTATGGGTTAGAGAAGTTAATTCAAGTTTATCTCTTAATCAAACCTATATTGTTTTAATTTTTTTAAGATAAAACAAGTTTTGATAAAAGAAAATCCATAAAATATCAAACTAAATTTTAACTAAATCACAAAATGTCACATGATTGACTTTCTTTTTTTATACAAGATTTCCAGCACCAAGAGACGGAGACAAGTCAACTCGTTAAACTAGATTTAATAACCATGTTCTAGATTTTCTTAGGAAATGTTGGGAAAAAGAAGGGTTGATATCAGTTTGTGATAAATAAATAAAAAGGGTTCTTCTTTTAGATCAGTTTGTAGAATTACAGCAAGTAATCAGCAGAGAAACCACTTATTTTCCATGCAAGCATCACGCGGAATACATAGGAGCTCACTGAGTAGCAACACTGAGATAATGAAATGAACTTCATTGAAGATTATGCAATCCATAATTTCCCCACTTGTCAACTCTTCTTGCCCACTTACATTTTCACATTAACTAAAGTAAGAAGGTTAGTACAATTTTGAGTTATTGGTTAAGGATGGAAACTGCTGTAATCTCCTGTAAGTATAATGCTGCCTGTTTGGCCTGCTGATGAGGTCGAATTATAGGATGTCAAGGCGAGATTAAGCGGGCACCAAGCAAGATGGCCTAGTGCTCTAGTTTGGGAATGTACAAATTGTTATGTAGGTTGATTTGGCTGATCCATAGCTACAAGCTCATCTCATCAGGTAGGCTGATTTCAATAAAATACAGGCTGAAGACCAGCAGCAATACATGTGAGAAAAATAATTTAACAAAAAAAAAAATAATAATAATTCAGATCTTGAAACAGAATCATGTATAGTTTGAGTTCTATTACCTTGCAGACATGAAAGCCATACCAAAGAATACGGCCTTAACAGCTTGTTTCTGACCAGCATAATCAAATGCCAGTGGCAGCATTTCATGCAAGGTAAGGAAAGCCATCACTCCACCAACTGCAAATGCAACAAAAATTTATGGTGAGATTGAAGTAGCACATTGACTTTCTCCAAACATCTGGAGAAACTGAGAAATAAATGGTACTGCATACCTGATCCCAGCAACCCCTCAAGAATTTCAGGATTCAAGCTGCTTGGGAATAGATAAGCTACAGTCAAGGAAAAGGACATTCTTATTGGTCGAAATTAAATGACTTCCCATGCTTTAGAAACATAAGCAATAAAAAGAAGTTGACATACCAACAAGCACCACACCAAGAGGCTCAGCCAAACCAGAAAGTGTAGCTAATTTGAATGCCTGCCACTTGCTGAAATGCGGACAGAAACTACCTAGTTAATTTATATTATGGGTATAACACAATAAATTCTACTCTGTTGACATAGCAGCAAAAACAATATAGCCATAGGTATCAGAAGAACACTGTGGTCACATAAATAAGGGTAGCTATTATATATCTAGCCACTCCGACCCCTTAGGCAGGAGCCAGTAGTCTGGAGCCAAAAATTGTTGAGTGTATCTGCACTATATCATACTCTTAAATGATATGTGCAAAAATCAGGTTATGGTTTCCTTTTTGTTTTCCTTTATTTGAGATCCCTGCTTTCTTCGGGAAATGAAAGATCATTGAGGCCAAACAAGAGCGTTAGTGAATAGATCAGGCTACTATGGTGGGCACTAATGCTACCCCAATAAAAAAGCAGCACTTCTGACTCCCTTTAATATTTTGCTACAACACAAGGACATAACGTAGAAGAATAAAATTGCTACCTTGACCATCTTCAGCAGTGCCTGGGATATCCAAATTTTTTTAATCAAACTCCAGCACAGCTTCCTGACCTCTATATTCATTACTCTGCCACTCTACAGTTCTATCTCTAGATTCTAGACTGTCAACAGGGCAATTATCGCCACCACTATCACCAGTAATCGCCTCCCTATTTGTTGATTCTTATTTCCAGTAAAGTACCATTTCAGGCTACTTCCACAGAAAACATGCTCCGGACCATTTCTTTCTAAAGGGGATTTTACTGATGCTTTAGAAAGCTGAATAGAGCAGTGCCTTGGGAAATTTTTACCTCTGTGTTGCAAAATAAATAGGAAGTGCAACAGCAACACCCTGTGGAAATAGACATGAAAAAGTTAGGACAAATAAATAGGCAGTGCAACAGCAACACCCTGTGGAAATGAAACATAAAGAAGTTAGGATTGTCGGAGGATAATATAAATTATATCTTCAACAACTTAAGCTTTTAGATTTAACTGGTTTTTTAACATAGTAACAAAGCCATGTTGACCAACCACAACATCATATTTTATATTTGTAGATGGGAAAAAGCATTAACAAAATACAGGAAAATTTGATAAACAAGGTTTTGGATATTAATTGGCACAACAGTCCAGCCGCAGAAAATATCCTTCTCAAGCACAACATTATGGAACTTTCAAAATGAAAACCAAACATATCCACTGCGCCTAGACACATCTTATCATAAGATAAATTGCATATTATGTCTATAGGCAAGAAATACACAATTAATTCCCATTAATGCTGGCAAAAGAACACATCCTCTCAATTTTTTTGTATTAAAATCCATAAATAATTGGCACTTAAAATGCTCAAAGTTTAAAGGAATCAACTCTCATTCAGGAAGAAAGCAACCTCTTTGAAGAACTGATAGCATATGTAGGCATACCTCTGGAATGTTGTGCAAAGCAATTGCCAGAGCCAAATTAATACCAACACGAAAGCCCTAAAATAGAATTATAAAAGAAGATTACAGAATTGACTTACCAAAGAATAAGAAAATAGCTTCTGGATCTCAAGAGATTAAAACAATCATTGTTAGCTTCCAGTTGACAATTGTATTTAATGGAAATAACATGCATACTAAGATTAATTTCTAAATCCATGTGGTACCAAATTGGTCGCATCCAGGAATCAACAAGGATTGAAGTGGGTTGTGACTGAAGGCAACATTGTATGAAAAAAGACTGCAACATCTTAACCAAAGATCCTTGGATATTGTGATTCGGCAATTCATAATAGCATACTGAGAAGCAACAAATTTGATTCTTTCAGATGTGGACTATAATTTTTTTCATAAAAAGATTCTAAAAAATGGAACTAAACTCCTTATTTTGGTGCCATTGAGTAATAGTGCGACTGAATGGTTCACTTTTCTCGTCTTCATCATACCAAAGTCAAATAAACAATCTTCTTAGCACAGGAAGCACAAGTAAAATGGCATGCAAATGCAACCCACGATACTAAAGAAGGTAAAAATATCACTAAAGAGACAAGTCTTTTTCTTCAAGAAATTAAACCGTAAACATGGTGCTGAAATGAACAAGCTCCAATTTGTTAAACAATCATATATTATGACTTTAAGAAAAACCCTTCGTGTTTCTGTTAGGATGAAGCTTTGATGGGTGAGTTTCATTCAAGACTGGTGTATTTTAAGAGTGACACAAGTACTAGACTTCAATCTGTGTATGCATATATTTTTTAGCCGAACATAATACCAACACTACAGCGGAAATATAAATAAGGCTAATGCTACCTTAATTGATCCAAGGAACACTGCCATTCCCTCTGGGAAGTTATGCAAGCTTATTCCTGCAGTCCATGAAAGACGAGATTCAATCAGAACAGACTAGTTTATGAACTTTTCCAACTAAAAGGTACTAAATTTACTGTTTCCAACTCTTAGGGCCCTGATATCTTTACCAGTTTAGTTAAAGAAAAGGAGGGAAAAAAAAAAAGGAGCACAAGCAAGCAAAATCGAAGTTAGAGAGTGATAGAATAGGACCAGAGAAGGTCAGTCATACCTATTGCAGTGATAATTCCACTGAACAAAACTTGGCGACGATGCTTTTTCATAATGTCCTTTCCCCCTTGGTCACCATTTTTCTGTTACCAAACGAAGTTCCAAACTGTCACGTTACCTTCTAATATTCTAGCAACATAGAAAAGCAGCCATTGTTGAAGTGACAAAACAATTAAGTATTAGGAAAATGTATCATCCAGAACCTTTTTACTTTTAATATCTATGCTTGAGGTAAGTGTTGGCTCTGGGATAAAATTGGCGATGATACCAAAGAATACAACACCTCCAAAAAACTGCACCGTCAAGGAAAAAAATTGACAGGTATAAATGAATAAATAATGTCTAGTAAGCAATAAAATTTGAATTTGATGAAGGAAAGATATAGCTAACCCAGAGATTGCCTTTTAAGAATCCAATTGAATTGATAGCATTATGAGCAAGATCAAGGAATGATATGCAGAGCATCAGGCCTGCAGCAAAACCCTGCACAGGAAGCTTAGAAAGTGTTAATGCAAATACCTTCCCCTGGAGTTTAATACAACATTAGGATCATTTATGGTAACTCCAGGCCGCAGCATTCTCTCATAAGCATGTACTAATACCAGAATTAAGCAGACACAGGAAATTAATTAGCCACTATCCTTTCATAGGTAGATAAAACACTAAAAGGTGGAGTTCTTTTCTTGTGAGAAGAAGAAGCAATAAAGAAGGGCAAAACAAAACAGCTTTTTGAATATGGAGACTTCAACTTCTGAAAACCACCTGTAATAACCCAAGCATCTTCAAATTGGGAGTCTGACAGAGAATTACAAAGAGCGCACCTGTTTCGTAGTCCAAGAGTTATAGATAGGTTAAATGTGTTAAGCATAGTAAACAAGAAAAACTGGTGTCCATACACAAAGTCAGTGAGCATCAAAAAACACACCTCAGTAAGTAAACAGGACATCAAAACTAGAAGAGTAAATAGTAATTTTTGAATTTCATGCCATATTCATGTAGACAAGTCTTTCGTTGCTAACCTAGTGAAGTACTCGAACCACCCAGAACAGAGACGCCAGGCACAATAATCATGAAAGTGTCCGTGGAGATGCTCTCACTCAGACCAAAACGTTAACAATATAGAAAAATATGAGTGCTAGGACGTAGGGGGTGTAGTGGGTGCTGAGGATTTGACAAATTTTATAGGGCCTTTTGTGTTTGGAAAATTATGGATTCCAGGCAACTTTAGGCAAGTAAATTTTATAGGCCTCTTCACATGAGCTTCTAACACTAGACCAAGTAAATTAGGCAACTTTCTAATCTTCAACAGACATTGTTAAGAATTAAGGTTAATGGATTTACTTCTTTTCCTTGAAATTTAAAAAAAAAATCGTTGTCTTTTCCTCAACAATCATCTTACCGAAAAAAGGATTCCTCTATTCATCATTTCAATCACTAGTCTTCATTATACATAGCAGAAACGCTGAATCAACTTCTAAATTAACATCCCTAAATTTTAATCTTCTTCTTGTTACAATTTAGATTCAAGAAACCAGTCCACAAGCAAGAACAATCAGGACCAAATTTAATCCGACTATAATATAACAAAAACAGCAATTTAAACTAACACAACAGAGTCTTCCACATTATAGTAAAAATGCATGAAAAACCATGAACCAACTAAACCCCACATCATATTTCCATTAAAAAAAATGATAGTAAAACAAAGTCCACAACGTGAAAACATCAAGAACCTCAAAAAGACTACGTACGCAACCATATCAGCACAAAAAGAAAAATCCTTAATCATGGTATCTTAAAATTTTCAAATAAAACAAGAATTTTGAAACCAGCCCATCATAGAAAAACATAAAAAGTTGCAAGCTTTATATATAACTTACCTATAGAAGTGCTTAATCCACCCACAAGAGACAGCGCCAAAGCTACCATGACCTGAGAATCCATTGAAAGAAATGCTTCTTTTCTGTATATGACAATGACCCAAGTACTGTTTAGAGATCGTTTATATAACCACTCCCCTGAAGGAATGATTGTTGTTGGAGGAAAAGAACATAAAAAGGAGAAAGAAAGGGATGGTTTGAGAGAAAGGAACAAGAAATGTTCAAGGAAGTGTTGTTTCCTTACTCAACCGTCTATCCGTTTGCCCTGCGGTAAAACTTTGATTTTTATAACTTTTAAATTTTTTTCATGCTTTAAAATTATTTTTTACAATATTTTTAAATGGTTATAATGTACGGATTTAAAATAATTTTTTTAAAAAATTATTATTTTAATATATTTTTAAATAAAAAATAATTTTCACTACATTCATAAACATTTACTTTAACTAACTTATTACCATATTTTAAAATAAAAATATAATTAAATTACATTAAATTAAATGTTACTAATAAATAATAGTTAATACTCTTTAACATAATTACAAAACGTGAACAGGCTAGTGAGTTTATCTAGAAATAATTAATTTAGGGTTTGAGTTAGTTTAAATTAAAAAAAAATCGATTGACTTAATTAAAAACTCAAGCTACCACGATGATTGATTTAAGTCAAGTTAAAATATATTTTTTAAAAAAATATTATTTTAATTTTTAAAAAAATAATCAAATTCATTTTTATAACCTATAATTTGGAGTCATATGTCTAGTTTTATAACTATTTTATTCTGAAAGTTTTTGGAAGAACGGAAACATCTTTTTATATTTTGATGGTTAATAAAATTATTTTCAATCTATTATTTTGGATTTTAAATTAAGAGGAGTTGGATAAAAATATTTATCATATACACAATTATACATTATTCAATTGTAAATTATTTATTTAAAATTTAATTTAAAAAATATTTAATTTTCATATATGATTTAAGAATTTGAGACCACATTCGAGAAAAATCTTAGACAAATAAAAAAATTAAAATTCTAATAAATAATTAGCAGTTTACACTTTATATCATGTCTCAAACTTTGAAAAGCAACCCAAACATTCTTCTAAACATTATTGTGAGTAAGGCCAAGGTTTGGAGGGCAATATAATACATTAGCCTAATGTTTTGTTGCATCTAATATTAATTTAATATAATTTAATTTGTGATAGCTATAGTTAGATACTCAAATGAAAATTTAAAAGATTAGAGATTTAAATAAAATTTAAAACTTATTTGGAGTTGCGTTTTAAATTGCATTGTCCTAAATTTTACATAAAAAAATTGTTTTAAAGTAATTTTTTTATTTTTTTATCATTTTAATATGTTAATATAAAAAATAATTTTTTAAAAAAATATAAAAATATTTTGATACATCTTCAAAAAAATATTACACAACCTCTAAATAAAATAAGAAGTACATACCAAAAATTATTGTGGTTGAGTCTAAGTAAATCTATATTTATTATTTTTTTAATCTAAGCTGATAATGTTTTATTTAAAAAAATTCTTATTTTAATCTAATTATATTTTTGAATTGAGCTTGGTTAGATTAATTGAATTGAAAATCAACTCACCAAATTATCAAATTTAATTTAATTTAGTTTTGTTAATATAAAAAATGCTTCAGATTAAAATTTAATTTGCATCAGATTTTGAGTTATAAATTTATCAATTAACCTATTAAGTTAGGCTGACTTTAATAATTAAATTAGAAAATTAGGTTTAAAAAATTAATAAAATACAAAAAAAAAAAATTTAAAAATGAGCCTAATTATTTAAGTCTTGACTTGCAAAATATTTATTCGAAACCGTTTATCAAGAAACAAAATAAATGACATTATAAGATATACAAAATTGAATTAAAATTAGAAAATGTCGTCCCATCAATGTTAAGTTGAAATTACATGTAAAACCTTGTCATTTTTTCTTTTCCCTTCTCAAGCCTTTTCAACATTCGGACAAGTTCGCCTTCAGCTTTGTCTTAAGCTTATGGCTCGGGCTTTCGAGTTTTGTGCCTTTTGACGTGGTTTCTAGACTTTGAGACATGCAATAAGAGGAATTACCTAAGGTATATTTTCATTTATGAAAATATTAGTAGGTAATTTTGATATATTATTTTACTATATAGTTATTATAACAATTTTACTATATGGTTATTAAGTAATAACTTTTGATTATTGTTTTGAAATTAAAAAATGCATGTCTTGTTTTAAAAAAATATAAATTTACTTCAAATCTATTACAAATATAAGTTTATTTAATATTGTTATCTTTTTAATTAAATATATTTTTATATCTATTTTTTTTATTAAACACAATCATATAAATTATGCGGGTGTTCCACACACGTAGAAGTAGAATTTATATTGATGTTTATTTATATTTCATGAATTGTAAGGATTCATTAATAATTATTATTTCAATCAGAAAGCAAAATTAGTGATTATTACAATAAAAAAAAATCAAACTTTTATGCTAAGAATATTTTATATCTAATAAACAAGTAAAAAAAAATTAACATTTTTTTAAATAAAAATAATTATAATATGATTAACTGGAGGGTTCAACACTAAGACGACGTGGTTGACTTGGCTTCATTTGATTTTTCCCTTCCATAAACCCTTTTGAAAACCCGCTCAGTAGAAAACGCAACCAATTCCCCACTTTCTCTCTCACTTTCCCGAGAAACAAACACCTAGTCCCTTCCAAAAAAAATGTCCTCTCGCCTCTCCTCCATACTCCGCCTCCGCTCCCACCTCCTCCACCGCATCCCCGCCACCACAACCACTACAACAGCCACCGCTCTCTTCCACAGTTCCACCAAATCAAAACCCATAATCCTTACCTCCCTCTCGGATCTCCATTCTCTTTCCACTCACCGCTTCTTCTCCGCCTCCCGCCGCCACATCCCCACCCGTCCCAAACCAGTTGACATCGGAGCTCGAGCCCGCCAACTCCAAAACCGTCGTCTCTGGACCTACGCCTTAACCTTCAGCTGCATTGCAGGTTTCATCGTTATAGTGCTTAACAACTTTCAAGATCAATTAGTCTTTTACATAACACCAAGTGATGCGGTTGAGAAATTCAAGAACAACCCATCGAAGAACAAGTTCCGATTAGGTGGTTTAGTCCTTGAAGGCAGCGTAGTTCATCCGTTATCAAGTCCTGAAATGGAATTCGTTGTCACTGATTTGATTACAGATATTTTAGTTAAGTACGAAGGGTCCTTGCCTGATTTGTTTCGAGAAGGACATTCTGTTGTTGTTGAAGGGTTTATGAAGGAATTGGATGATAAGGTGAGGAAGGAAGTTGGGTTGAAGAATGTTTCTGGGAAGGCGAGGAGTGGAGAGTGCTATTTTAAGGCGTTTGAGGTCTTGGCTAAGCATGATGAGAAGTATATGCCTCAAGAAGTTGCGGCCGCGATTGAGAGGAATAAGAAGTTGATCGAGGCTGGTGAAGTTGGGGAAGGTGGAGCTGAGAAGAAGAAGTGAAATCATGGGTATGATTCAAAATTTTTTATTTTTTGATCAATTCTATGATTTACTTGTTTTTTTGGTAATGTAGTGTATTTGATCGGATGTTATCTGATATTTAGTGATAAGAATATATATGAAATAGGAGGGATTTAATTGGGAGCTATCTATACATTGCTCGGATCTATCTATGCTTTGTTTTGAGGTGAGAGGATAGATAGTTATTGGATTTTGAGGGACAGGGAATTTGATCAATTGAAGCTGCAACTTTTGTAATTGCATATTAATTTATGAATAATCTTTCACTTTAATGAAATTATGAATAAACTCCATCAATGAATGAATGTTCTTGTGGATTGATGAGTGTGAATTAGTTTTCAATAATTATGCTAATGTTTCTGTTATGGATTTTTTTCCCAATGTTTCGATATTTGATTTTTCTGTGGCATGTATGGTTGATAAAAGTTGAGCCCATGATTCCAGTCCATCTAGGATGGAACTCCCTCCTGATTTTAGAGTGGAATCATAGTTTTTCTGCTGAAAATTAGGGGAAATGAATAGGTTTCAGAGCTCATCATACAAACAATGACCAAATAACTCGACTACGATGATTGTTATTGAAACTTCCTTTTTGCATTCCCAAATTGTTTTTGCAAGTCATTATATATATATATATATATATATATATATAAAATCTTAGTTAAATCATGCCATTATAGTGTTGCTTCTGCCTTACTGAAAGTTCAGGACATTCATAGATATGGTTTCCTGTATTTGGTTTAGAAACATAATACTGCAGTGGATGCTGTTGAGTTTCTCATAGAGATGATGTTGTCCGTTTTTGTCCAGAAACCTGAATTTCAGATAGTTTAATCAGTAGGTTTTGAGTTCAGTCATTAATTTGGGTTTGTGGATCATATACATGCTCATACCAGGAAACACAATTTGAAACTGGTATATTTGGCTCTTTATACCTAGGCTCAGAACAATGACATAAATGGTGGTATTGCTGGCAAGTTGTGGGGAATATCACTCTTTGGTCAGCTTTGGCTAAGAATGGTGAGAAGTATAATGCTTAATGATGAGGTTATGGCAACTATTGAGGTTATGCTTAATGAGGTTATGGCTGCTATTGAGACTAGGCTGGCTGAGTCTACGAAGGAGAAAATCATTGATTGTTCATTGACGGGCATTGCTTGAAAGTTCAGATATTTAGTGGACAATGACTTTGTATAGAGGTGGCGCGTAAGTAGTTTACTTTGAATTTTGAAAAAAATGGTGTAGTTTGATTAATGAGCATGGCTTTATTTGCTTTTCTTTCTCGCCAGCTTGCTCCTCATCTATAGGTTGTGTTTGTTTAGTATCCAAAAATAGAAGGGACAAAAACGTGTTTGGTTTGAAGACAATGACATAAATTAAATCTGTTTCTAGGATAGTTTTTGGAGTGAATTTATACTCTTTTAGAACAGTAAGGACAAGGGGACATGTCCTGTCTATCCTCATTTGTGTCCATCTCTTCTATTTTGATACAGTAACCAAATGCTACCATTTGGTACATGAGCATTAGGTTAACAGTGGGTAGTTGGAAACTAAATTGATGGATATTCAGGTGAGGGAATCCGTGTTGCCCTTGTGTGTTGTGGAGGAAGTTTGGCATGCAGTTTTCTCTGGATTATCTGTATTCTTTCCTCATGTACACTAACAGAGTGATGGGTAAACATCATTCAAGGAATGGTCATTGTATCATTACAAGTGGCAGAACTTCAACGTTTCAATTGGGTGTAGTTGGTGAAAAAAATCCATTTTTCTAACCAAAATGATATCGCTTCAAGCTTTTTTCTAGCCTTGTAATCCGTGTTCCAGGTCCTGAGCCAGATCGATTCTGGGTCAGGTCTTATAATCATAGGTCTTATAACCATTACACGTACAAAATATTTTAAGAAGAAAGAAATATAAAGAGCAAAGACATACTATATGAGGGTAAGTACAAATAAGCAGTTAAGTAGCGTATATAAATAGCAAAGACAGACACCAGATGAATTCATTCCTCACCTGTACAAATCCAGCCCCAGCAACCATCGCCCTGTGACAGGGTCACCCACCATATGTCCCACAGTGATGCATGATTAGAAAATGCTGATGAAGGTGCCATATCTTAAACGACAAAGAATGCAGCCTGGGAACTGCTAACGTACTCCATGTTTCAAGTGAAGGAGTTGGTGTTTATTTTAGGTTTGCAATATTGAATAGCTGGTTTTTCCAGATTTATATGCTTGTGATTATGGACATTGGATTATCAGATGTACATAGTTAAGGGAAATCCACGTTGTTGCTATCAGTTACGGTACAAGAAATGGGAGCTAGATAGGCTATATTGGGATAAAATTTTTGAGACATGAGATTTAAGACATTTTATTTTATTTTATTTTTCTAAGCAATATCTAATTATAATAAACAAGCTCAATGTCATAACCAAGCAATCTAAGTGCAATGTCTGTTTGGGGTTGGCATTGATTCAAATGGTCTGGTTTGGACAAAAAATCTTTGATTCAAATGGTCCGGTTTGGATAAAAAATTCTAAGACATTTTTATGATTCGAAATTCTAACTTGTTCTGCAGGTAATCATGATTTCATTTGATACGAGATACCTTAGCAGTGGTAGATTCAATCTTCAACATTAATGAAAAGGATCTTGCCTGTATAGTATGTCTTTTAATTTGGTTCTTCCATAATTTTGAGCTGAAACGAAGTCAGGGATTAAGATCGAATCATGATTATAAGAAACAAGCAAATTTTGCTAAGCTGCTCCTTTCTGATTTTTGAAGAACTCCTTAATGAACATTGTCAGCATCCACCAAAAAAAGACAGAAATTTGACAATTGACAATCTACTGTATACACTCTCCGTGTCAGATCAAGTTAAATTAGTCAATTGAGTCATCAGAATCTTGTGTTGCTAATCTGCTCCATTGCCATTTTTGTTGAGTTTCATGAGGCTCTTTGTCAACCAAATGGCTGTTTCTCTTGATGACACAGCTTCTTCGCTGAAGGGTCCTAGTACTCCTGATAGCTCCTCAAACCTTTCCTGTCTTAGCAAATTTGCACAAATCTCTAGCAGTGATTCCAGAGCATCTGCCCTTTGCAGGCTCTGAGGATTCCATTCAATCTTTATTTCATCACCATGTAGGGAAGTCAATGAACTGATCAATGAGATATCACTAGGGGTTCTGTTCATTTCCTTTTGTCCAACATCATTTCCGCAAGGCAGTTTTGATGGTGTTGATTTCATTTCTGTTACTGCTGGGAGTTTGCAGAATTTGGGTTCCAATTCCATATCATGTCCAGTTTTGTCACCCATCGGGGATGCTGATGCCTTTTTGTAACCAGAAAGGCCAACATAGCCGGTTGAATCTTCAGACAGCTTTTCCTTTCTTTTGCAAATCCCAAGACTAGCATTTTTGAATTCCATGCTAGCTTGTCCGACTCCACAGAGCTTCTCTTGGACTATTTGTGACTTCTTAGAAGCAATTTCTGGTTTCTCATCTTCAGGGTGAGTCCTTGCAATACTTGCTGAAGAGGTTTCAGAGTTGGCACTTTCGGTTTGTTCTGCACTGTTGTACAAATCACTGGCTGCTACTTTTTGGTCAAAAGCATCCTGCTTAAAACATCTGCACCCCTTTGATGGACTTGCTTTCAAACCTATGTTATTCTTGTGAACACTAGACTTGTTAGGTAGCCGGGTTCCTTTTGGTTTATCCAGGAAGCTGTATTCGGACTTTACAGGGAGGAACACGAGAGATAGATTTTGGCATTTAGCAAGATATGGCTGTAGATGGGGGTGCCTCAACAGCTCTGCAGCCTAATTAGGACAACGCAAATATTAATGAGAACAACCTTTTGTAATAAGATAAGAGAAGCAGCAAGGGCATCTCAGACTCACTGTTGGTCTATGCTCTGGGCTCTTCCTCAGCATGCTTTTGATTAACTGTTTTCTGCAGATAAGAAGCTAACCCCTTAGTTGTATTTTCCTTGATATAGTGCATACGCATTAAGAGGTTACAGAGAGTATGACTTACAATGTGGAGGAATAGGCAGCTGGGAGTGGAGAAATAGAAGAACGATTTATCTTATTAATCAGTCCAGCCATATCCTGTGCATAAACATGGTAAAAGTTAACGACCACGTGTCAGAAAAAAGTAAATCTAATGTTTGTCCGAACAAGGTCATGTGCCGCATACATGAGCTCTAAATGCAGGTTGATGTGCAGCTATCTCAAACATACAGCAACCTGTAAAATCATAGAAAATGTGATTTCGAGAGATTATGCTACCAGGTTGGAAAATTTAACAAATGTGTCAGCAGGACTTTCATTACCTAGAGACCAAATGTCTGATTTGTAGCCATAAGGTATGTCTGCAAGAAGCTCAGGACACATATAGTTGGGAGTGCCTACAATCTACAGAAATAACAAGCTGTATTAGTAAGCTGTCAGCATTTCCTAGGAAAGTTCAGATAAACAAATGATCCCCTTGGTTATGCCACCAATGGCAGAATTAGCAATACATAGGAGCTTGGCACAATCGGAGCAGATCGATAATTGAACCATTACCGTGGATGCAAGATCCTCCTTGTTCAACAATTTTGCAAGTCCAAAGTCACCTGGACATGTACTGTGAGATAATACAGTTTCTGTGCAATTGAAACAAATAAAATGTTATAGAGTTCTGTGTATTTGCATCCTGACCTAGCTGGATGTTGCCATCTTTCGTAAGGAATATGTTAGAGCACTGGCATTGGAGAGTGGATTCATATCAGAATGATGTTATGAACAAGTTTTTTCAAATGAAAATTGCTACCGAAACATACTTTTAAATCTCTGTGAAGGACACGATTGGAGTGGAGGTAGTCCACAGCAAGCAACAACTGTGTCAGCCATTTGCAGAGTTTCTGGAGTGGAGTTGGAAAATAATTTGCATTAGATGCAAAACTAACATGAGAAAGAAAATTGTCACCAAGGACTTTAGTTTCTTGTAGATATTCCACATGTTCTTTACCTCTTCAGGGAGATACGTCCCTCTAGCTTTCTTTATCATCTGAGCCCTGTAGCAACAGTATCAGGTTAAGCATAGAAGGTAAGGATATAGGTTTCCATGAGTCGGAAATTCACAAAATTGAGTCTTTTTCAAGCGTTGAATAAAAATCAACATGCATTGCAAGGCAGTAGCTACTACTGCATGGATCTCTGTCGTCCACACTGTGCGCAGATGGTGGGGATCTGTGCAACCACGCAGTCGCAACCCCATCTAGCAAAACCCTATTGGCAGTGTTTGTTTTAGTACGTGCTATGAAATATCTAGGATCTTACATGCCATTTGAAGATTGAACTCAAATTTTTATACTGAAGTAACTTACATGTCTCCTCCCGCACAGTAACCTGTCACGATGCATACATAGGATTCCTGTAAAACATAGGCAGGGAGTGATGATACTGTTTTTGGTACTTGGGAGAGATGATTTGCTCAATAAATTTTCCTTCTGTTTCCCCCTCAATTGTGAGGTAAAACCAGTGTCAACAATAGCAGATTGCTAAATGGGTACCTTTTCCACCCATGAATCTTTGTACTCCACAATATAGGGATTATTCAGCTTCGATATCAAATTCATCTGCATCATATACCATCATTATCTAAGTTATATTCCTCAGTGCAATGCATGAGAAGATAGCAGAGTTGAATAAATGCTGAATTGAGCAGTTTTCTGGAGGCTGATGATAACCTCTTGATATGCTGTTTGCTTGAATTTTTCTGTTTGTTTAGCCAAACGAATCTTCTTCAATACATACCTACAAAATACAGGTAGATTTTATTTAACAGTGTACTGTAACCAAACATAGTTAATGAAGGAAATGGATTATGGATCCATGTCACCCATGATGGGTCAACATGGATCATGATCCCATGTAATGGAAAAGTGGGGAGGGAGGTTATCTTGAACACAAACTGAACATTAGAGTTACATTTGGTTAGTGTTCCAATATAGAAAACACATATACAAAAGGGATAAAAATATATGTAATCGGAGGGACAGAGATAGATAGATAAAATAAATTATGTCTCTTTGTCCCCACTATCTCTGTCTTCTTTTCTTTTTTTCGAGATAGTAACCAAATACTATTTACATAATTCAAAGGATTCCGAGAATTCGATAACTTGAGAAGAAGAGAGAATAAAAGTGTTTGTAAACTTTTCTAAGGAATTTGGCATTCAAGAAGGAAAACCAAAACCTTCTCCATGCTCTGAGAAGTGTCGGACGCTGCAATTCAG